ACACACACACACACACACACACACACACACACACACACACACACACAGATATCCCACATGGAAACTGATGACAGACTTGCCCAACATGGCAGGTATGACATAACTATTCCCAATATACAGAGGAAAACACTGAGGTTCCCAGCTTCAAATATAGCAGAGCTGGTAAGCAACTGAGCTTCAACACTAGGATCAAACCCCCTTTTCCAGAGAGAGCAGAGAAGAGCCTAGTATCCTGTGTTCCTGGAAGCCTCACCCTGTGGTCTGGCACATGGACATACCCAGACTGCTTTATAGGGGCAGGTCCCTGAGCAAATGGCTGCCTACCATTTGTGGTAACTCAATCCCACTATGAACACTGAATTTGCACTGTCCCAAAATACAAATATGAAGGCAGTTCTATTTAACCAGATGGAGGTCTTAGGACTCACTGATCAGGCTCAGTAACCAGCTGAAAATATTATTGCTCTGTGTTCTAAAAGCCATGTTAAAAAGAAAATAACATCACATTCAGGTCAGCTGTCTCCCAGCAGAGGCCAGATGGGTGCAAAGCTCCACAGGAAGGCAGCTAGGAGCACTTGGGGACAGGCGTTCCCACTCCTGGATCAAAAGGCCTTTCTTTGACGAGACTATGGCAGGCCACCATCACTTGAGAAGCATTAGTTTGGGGAGGCAGAAAACCAACAAAAAGATGCCAGCTGGTTTTTCCACTGATTAAGTCACCTCGAGTGACAGGCCCTGTCTCCAGAATGATCCCCATGTAGGCTGGAGCTTGTGGGGACCAGTGTTGAGAGGCCACTTAGAGAGAAAAAAAAGGTGCTGTGACGGATGGGCTCGAGGCAGATCATATGACACAGGGCTGGCAGCAGCTCATAAACCACCTCTCTGCCAATATCTCTACCCAGCGATGGGGAAAAGCTTCAATCAGCTTACACCAGCTCATACTAGCAAATAAAAGCAGCACAGAGAAGTCTGTGCCAACAGCCTAGAATTTTCCAATCAGATCTGGCTCCAAAATTGGCAGGCAGACGATGACTTCAGAAAAGAGAGATGGCTATGTGCTATGGAATAAATACATAATTCTAGCATTAGAGGTTGAAGCAAGAGAATCTCTAGTCAGCCAATTCTCCACAGTAAGACCCTGTATATAATCATGCTAAAATCTGTACACCTAAAGAAGCTAAGTAAAAAGGAGGACTCTGGGTAAGATGCTCAATCTTCATTCAGAAAGGCAAATGGGATAGACATCAGAAGAAGGTGAAAATAAGGAACAAGACAGGGGCCTACCTCAGAAGGCCTCTGAAAGACTATCCAGCAGGGTATTAAAGCAGATGCTGAAACTCATGGCTAAACTTTGGGCAGAGTGCGGGGAATCTTATGAAAGGGGGGGGGGGATAAAAAGACCTGGAAGGGTCTGCAGCATCACAAGGAGAACAACAGAACCAAAAAAATCTGGACACAGTGGTCTTTTCTGAGACTGATACTCTAACCAAGGATCATTCATGGAAATAACCTAGACCCCCTGCACAGAGGTATCCACTGGCACCTCAGTCTCCAAACGGGTACCCTAGTAAGGGGAACAGGAGCTGTCTCTGACATGAACTCAGTGGCTGGCTCTTTGATCACCTTCCCCTGAGGGGTGGGAGCAGCCTTACCAGGCCACAGGAAGACTATGAAAGACAGTCCTGATGAGACCTGATAGGCTAAGGTCAGATGGAAGGAGAGGAGGTACTCCACTATCAGTGGACTGGGAAGATGCATGGGAAGAGATGAGGGAGGGAGGGAGGGAGGGAGGGAGGGAGGGAATTAGGGTGAGCTTGGGAGGGGACGAGGGTGGGG